CCGTATCGGAACACAAATGCAACTTCCTTATCGATTTAAATACACAGGCCCCCAAAACAGAAGATTCTCAGCTTGTTGCTTCAATGTTTAGGAAGTAAACCCATTAGCACCTTCGGCACATGAAGGAATCTCCAAATAGCATACTCAAGCTAGCAAAATAAACAATTGGTCTTGGCAACAGACATAAATTTGCTGCCGAGTTTATGTGAGTTTACACACACTGCGCTGTGCCTTCTTAGACTGCAGAAAGTCCCTTATCTAAATTCACTGGAAACAGATTAAGCTGCGTCCTCATACCACACATGCCACACTGATCAGCACAAGAACATGAGAAAAGAGGGAGAAGAACATATCTATTATAACTAAAGAGAGAGTGAGAGAAAGGATAGGAGGATGCTTTGATTGAATTTCACTGGCTAAAATTTAATTTCATTCATGAGCACTCACATGATAAGCCAGTAGCCTGTATGGCGGGAGGAGAGAGACACGGACACAAATAGAGAAATGACGCAGATATGACTGATACTAGATATGGCAAAATTGGGAGGACAGGTAAAATTAGGTTAGGGGTAAAAAAATAGCGCTTTTAACAATATGGAAAGTTTCACAGCAGTTTTACAGTGACAATAGGAAATGAAAGTAACATAGATTGTTTTGGCTTTACAGCAGCTCTAGAACAAAAGTTATTGTCCAACTAAAGTTAGTTTTGATCAATTTACTTCAGTTGCAAAAACCATTAGTTATTAACTAAGGGGCATCTAACAGAAAACCCTTAAAACACTCCGCCGCCCGCTCATTCGCACAACAACAGTGTTTTGTTTGGTGGCTCGAGAGCGCAAACCTTGAAATAGGTTCCAAGGTACAAGCATATATATATAATATAGATGGCGTGCACATGCATATTACCTGCTTAGTCTATGGGTATGCGCATTTGAATATACACTGAGCAAAATTATACATTTTCGCACTTTCTTTTGTTTTTGCCAACATTTTTCATCACAAATATTGCTGTGTTAGTGAGCGCTTCTCCTTTGCAGAGATAATCCATCCACCTCACAGGTGTGGCATATCAAGAGATGCTGATTAGACGTTCTATCTAAAAAGGAACAGTTGTGAGGATACTTCCTTTTCTAGTATCTTAGACAAAAAAGGTAGATTCGAGATCTGCCTGTGACTAATTTTATAGGATCAAGTTGTGTTTTTTTTAACAAGTGGTTTAATCATAGCTTAAAAGTTTTTGGTACGTATTCTAATGACAAAGATGAATTAATCATATTGAGAATCTATGACCTCTGGAAGCATCTCTTTCAATAGATTAGGCAGTATATAAGGTCTAACATACATGTTGTCGATTTACTAGATGATTTAACGAGTTTAGAAAAATCTTCCTCTCCTATAGACCTTATGCACCAGAGAAACGTGGGCGCCGTCATCTTTAGAATATTGTCTTTGAACTTCCTTTTTTGCGGTTGCTCTGTATATTTATATGGCATCGCTGTCGAGGAGTAATTAGCTGGTGAAGTGGATTTACTTATTGTAGAGTTAACAAAAGTTATCACGAGCATTGTAATGTTTATCATAAGCATTGTAAAGCAGATGTATTTACAAATGTCGACTGGGAATTTTTTACGAGCAGTTCATTCATACCTATGCAAGATCGCTGTGGAAATAGAGACCGGAAGTCAAAAGACAACGAGCGCAGCGCTGAAAAGGGGCGGGGCTACATAACGTCAATGAATGAATCATATTTTTCCTCAGGGAGACTACAATGCACTGTTTGATGCGATACTGTAGTAGATGGGTTGCATAGTTATAATTTTCTCCCTGATTTTATCAATCTTGTAAGTAAAGAATTTAATAAAGTCATGCTGTGCTGCTTGGAAACGTCTGGGGTTGGACTATTTTCTTTAATCTTCTTATCTTGAGATATCATTACTCTGCTGCAGAATTTCAACAGCATCAACATTGATTCCATGTGATAATATTAGATCTAGAGTAAGATTACAAAAATGAGTAGGTCCTGACATGTCGTCTACAATAGAGTTCAGAATGTCTTTAAATGCCAATCCCAATGCATTTTTTTTTTTTTTTTGTTATCTACATGTATATTAAAATCACCAGCCAGTACTAACTGACTTGATAGAAAGTCAGCAAATTCTTTGATAAGTCTGCATGGTGCCCTGGTGGCCTGTATACAGTAGCAAGCACAAATCTCAAACGTGATTTATCATTTACATTAGATAGTGTTACATTAAGCACCAACACTTCAAAAGGATTATATTTGAAAGACATCTCATTAATTCTGAAGATATTGCTATAAATTACAGCAACGCCTCCCCCTTTGCTTTTCAGATGAGGCTCATGTTTATAACAATAATCTTGGGGGGTGGACTCATATTAAGTAAAATAATCATCTGGTTTTAGCCAGGTTTCTGTCAAACACAGCACATCTAGGTTATAATCATTAACAATAAGTGCTTTTGAAGTAAGGAATCGAATATTCAGCAACCCAAACTTTATCATTTGTTGATTTGAAGTAAGGGATCAAATATTCAGCAACCCGAGCTTTATCATTTGTTAATTTGTATTATATCCATTTTATTTGTTGAACATCAATTACATTTTTGGGAGTTTTTTGTATTCCCTAATTCGGGGAACAGACACAGTCTCTATATGATGATATGTAGGTGAAAGAGTTTCTGTGATGGGATTTATCTGACCTCAGTGATGCGAGACAGCTAGCAGACGGTCGGTTTAGCCAGTCTGTCTGCTTCCTGACCTGAACCCTAATTCATGTTTGAGCTCTAACACTACGTGCCATATTACTAGAGAGAAGAGCAGCACCATCCCAGCAGGGATGAATACCATCTCTTTTCAACAGGTCAGGTCTGCCCCAAAAACTTTTCCAATTGTCTATGAATTCTATGTTTTTTTGAGAACACTACTTAGACAGGAGTTCACACACCTCTTTAACGTTAATTTTAGAGATCTCTGACTGGCGAAGTCGAACATAATTAATGCAGACATAAATAATAATCTTAGAGAATTTACGATCAGCATTAGCCAGTTTAAATTTGCTTTGATGTCAGGTGCTCTGTCTCCAGCAAACATGTGACTATGTTTGCTGGTGTCTCTGTTCTGTGTAATAGAATCACCAATAACTAGGGCACTTTCAACAGGTTTCTCAGTGGGAGTTTCACGGAGTCGGGAGAATCTATTTGTTATGGTAATCAGAAGGGAAGAGCACGTTTTGTCCCGCGACTAGAGCACCTCACGGTCACCCAGTTGTCCTGCTGCACGGGCTCTCACTGTGTTTGTTGACTGATCCCATTTACCACAGTTGTTTAGATAGAAAATCGTGCGCGAAAAAAAAAAGACGGCGAGCACGGATGGCAGGTTAACAGGCTAGCGAGATATTAACGTGTTGTGCTAGCGATAATGATTTAGATAAAAGATAGCGATGACTGATTAATGTGAAAGGCAATATTAGACTATCTAATATATTTTGATGAGCCAGTTATTTTTAGCAATATAAACAAAAAGCAATGATAGTAAATAGAGATTCAAAACAGAAAGCTATACGGAGCTTATAGACGCAAACCAGCATTGAGGCAGACAGGAGCAATCCCAAATCATGAGAATGACTGAAAGACACACAACACCTGAAAAGCTGAATTTACTATACACTTCTTCAGTGATCATTTTATTTGTGCGCTAAACTCCATCCCCTTGGACATAGGTGTCATTTTAAGTTTCTGCCCGTGGGTTATCCGGCTTTGAGTATAAATGTTACATAACAGTGTTTAGAGCTCCATAATGCTTATATTGCCCAGCTTTGGATAAGAATAAAACATCAGGTCATGCTCAGAATATCTTGTCTCTTTGAATTTAAATGTAGATTTATTGACATTTGCCCACGAAAACCACTACATGGAATTTACACGCCCTCTGCGTACTCTACACCCCTGCCTAATGTTTGTTTTTCAAGAGTACTGTATTTTTCTCCATTCAACGGTGCGTTTGAATTCATTACAAAATCACGTAATTATTACAATGTCGAGAAATTCCGTGAGCTTAAAGTCTAGTTTGATATGACGTCACACTCCATGGCCTCTTTTTTTTATAAAATTGAATTCAACATATAACAAATAGTAATACATTCAAAATGTAAAAATATATAATCTACTCGACTTTACTACAAAAATAGTTATTTTACTTCAGTCAAAAGTTCACACCAACTGGCGAACAAGAAAAAGACAGTAAAAAACAACAGAATAAACGGAAATGATTAATGCTGAAAAAAAAAAGACTAAAATATCTGAATACGCGACCCGCACCTGCTCATTTTAACTTGACTGTATGAGCCAACCCCTAAAAACCCTTTCAAGTGGACAATATCAACACTGCAAGAACGCCTTCTATGAAACAGCCTTTAAACAAACAAGACAGAATACCTCAATCAACTGTGCTTTAGTTAAAATTGCTGAACACAAGGAGTGTTTCGTCACTGTAATATGACTTTGGTCTGAATAGCAGATATGAGAACATTACTATGGTTACCAGGGTGTCAATCATCGCAGGAGTCGTGTTCTGTACACAAACAGAACTATATAGGGGTCTGTCTCCTGCATATAAATGAGGTTGTCTCTCCTGAAACTTTACACTGTGCACGAGGCCAAAGATGACAGAATTTTCTTTTTTTAACAGTTGTAGACCACAGGCTCTACTCTTCAGCACAATGGTAACCTCTCCAAAATGCAGACACAACAGAAACTAAAGATGCACGATATATAGGTCACCATCTCGGTTTCGGATGATATTTTAATTTTTAATGTTATCGTTAAAGGGATACTCCACTTTTTTTGGAAATAGGCTCATTTAACAACTCCCTCAGAGTTAAACAGCTGAGTTTTACCATTTTCGATTGTCTGATATTTAGAAGAATATCAGTAACCAGACAGAGTGACATGACAGGACTGGTATTAGCAAGTTTTACTGACCATGTTGGTCCCTCCAGACCAGTAGAGGAAGAATCCATCTGGGTCAACTTTGAGGGTGACAAGGCTGGGTGGGATGTTGGAGTCCTAAACACACAAATGAAAATAAAAAAAAATAAAACAATTAGGTGGCATTCAGCATAATTCAATTCAGTTTTACCAACCACATCAGTACTCCTTGTACAGAGAGCAGAATAAAATAATTCCCTTAATGATATGAACAACATTGACATGACTACTAATGAAGATCACTGGGAAACAATGACATGGTTTAGAACATTTATCTTCATACAACTGATTGTTAATTCAACTGCAACTCAATTAAACTGACATCATAGTAACCAAGTCACAGTGGCAGCCATGCCAATTCAAGTCAACAATGAACATACAGCCAATAATAAGCAAAATTGCAGAGAAACGGACATAATGATTTAAAAGCAAGTCAGATAAATGGGAAGTGCTTGGAATGGGTGGATGGTCCTGAGGGACGGTGTGATTTAGAAATCAATTTAATGACTGAAACCAAAACCTCAAAAGCCACAGAGCAAGACATTAGAGGAGTTTAATGCACAAGCCACAAAAACTGATGGCTGCATATGACTGGAATTGCATATTACCATAAAGATACAGTTGTAATCGAAATTATTATCCCCCACTGCAAACCAGGTTTATTGGCAAATTTTACAGACTTTTAGCTGTTCGCAATGATCAAATCAGTGAAAAATAGCTCAACACAACAAATGTTTGAAGTGGATCCCTCAAATTAAACTGAAAAGGCAACTTTCAATAACTTCAGCAGTCAACATTTTTCAACCCCTTCATTGGCAAGCATCTTTAGTACTTTAGCTGATATGACCTGCTGCAAACGAGATGTATAACCTGACGCCCAATAATATCCATATTTAAAACTTTGACTAAAATAACTAGCTTCCGGCAGACGGCCCATGCAAGTCAACTTATGCCAAAAGAGTAACACTTGACGATGTGTGACGTAGGATGTAGGAGTAGCGTGAGCTAAGACGCCTCTCAGGGATCAAACAGGGCTGGGCAACAAACTCATGTTCCTCCGACATTTGTCTTTAAAAATGGTAGTTTTAGATCGTCTTCTATCGTCTTCGCTTCCGCGTTCATCATTATGTTGTCAATGGTTACACTTTCGTCATAAAATGATGCGTACGGCCGTCTGCCGGAAGCTAGTTATTTTAGACGATAACCTCTTAAATATTGATATCGTTCTTAGTTACACAAACAAATCGCTTCACCTCAGAAGGCCTTTATTAACCCCCCGGAACCGCGTGGAAGAATTTTATCATGAATGGATGCTCTTTGATAGACTTCAAAACAGAAATCCTCCATTATAAAGAGTATAAAGACATTTTTAAAGCAGAATGTAATATAGGCCTACACCTAGGATGACTTGAAGGTGAGTAAATCAAGGGGTAATTTTTGGGTGAACTATCCCTTCAAGGTCAGTAGTGGTGTACGTTATGGAGTTCTGATATGCGTTTAGTAAGTGCCTTACAAGCTGACATCTAAGTGCCTGTTGCCACCATGTCTTGCTGCGGGTCTTTTGCAGTCACTCAAGGGTTTTTCTGAACCTTCCTTCTCAGAAATCTGGCTGCAGCCATTGATAGCTTCGTTTATCTGCCCTGTCCAGGTAACGCAACCACTGTTCTTTTAACATTGAACTTGCAAACTATGCTTCCATTGGTGTCTCTAGGAACATTTAGTGCCTTCACTATCATTTTTGTATCCTGTGTCATGTTTGTGAAGGCGATATCTTCTCTTAATTTTTTTAGACCATTCTTTTCACTTAGCCATATGACTAACATGCAGTCAAACATTACACAGCAATCTTAGCCAGTTAAGATATTTCAATGATTAGCATCAGGTGTGGTTGAGACAACACCTGTTTTGCAGATATGTACTGTTCGGAGTGATTTTATTCAGGAGGTTGAATAATTTTGAGACTGCAGAAGTCATTAAAAGCTACATTTTCAGTTGAATTTGCGGAAACCATTGTTGTTTTGAGTTATTTCAATTACATTTGTTTGATTTGTTCATTGCAAACAGCTGTACATGTAACAGGTCTGTACATTTTGCCAATACACCAGATTTACAATGGGGGTGAATAATTTGATTACATTTGTATACATGTATTTATTGTACATTACACAAAGTACATTACAGTTCAAAAGTTTAGGGCCAGTAAGATTTTTTTTTTTAAATAAATGAATGCTTTCATTAAGTATGCATTAAGGATTTTTCATTTTTCGTTTTGGCCTTTCTTTTACATGACAACATTGTTTTGATTAACGGGTTTTTCAAAGTGTACGTTTTTGACCAATAGTGAGAGAATAAATAAGACATTTATACATTTAAAATCAAGATTAATTAAATATTTCTGTTTATATCTTATAAATGTATCATGGTTTCACAAAAATATTAAGCAACACAACCGATTGGACGATAAAGAGTTATCTTTTCAAATCAGCATTAATGATTTCTGATGGATCATGTGACACTGAAGTCTGGGGGAAAATTTTTAAAATTGCAATAATAATTTTAAATACATTTTTAAAATAAAATGCAGCCTTAAGGCTGCATTTTATTTTTAAAGTTTTATTTAGCATTTTTTAATCATTAATAAAAATGTTTAATTATTTGACTGGACTGCCAAAAGTTTTTACATAAAGTAAGTTGAACTTATTTATCACAGAAGACCTTACCTTACTGTGAGTGTGAAAAAAAAGTTTCCCAAACTTTTCCAATATGCATGATCATACAGTTGATTTGTTTCTAAAAGGGTGAAAATGGCCAGATGGTAGTACAGACTGAAGAAAGACAATAGGGGGAATTTGAGAGCGGATTATGAGGATGGCCATGGGGATATTTAATTTCTTCTTTAAGCAGACATGGTAAAAATAATAATAAAAATAATAGAATTTAAAATACAATTTCATAAATGTTACTCACACATACATTTAAGCAGTATTTTAGTTGGCTTATTGTACTGGAAAGAAACTGATTGGGTAATGAAAAGTGATTGTTACACATCAGAATAGTACCGGGGGCAGTCTTCACTTTTGAACTTTCTTACTATTTAGCAGACAAAGTTTTAGCAGGCATTAGGAGAGTAGTATGTCTTCATAAAAAAGTAAGTCTTTACTATCTTTACTTTTACAACTTTACTATCCCATGAGGCCTTAGGAAAGGACTTGCGTGATAGCAACACAATTTACATTGCAATGCCAAAATGGTAGATGTCGAGAACTAAGTTCTTCCTCAAATGTAGTACTTTGACTGTATGCTATTTTGAAAATCAAGCAAGTGTAGCTGGTACTTGCATTCACACACCTATATAGTGGATGATTTTAGAGTGTTTGCACAGTAATGCATGTATAAAAGCACTTGGAAAAAGGTTGGTTGTACTAGTCAGCCAAACTCATCTTCTTTTAGCAAAATTGCTAAAAGAGAGCTCTATTTGTGTGTTTTATGCAGGGTTTTTTTTTTGTTTGTTTGTTTTTTTTTTTGTTTTTTTGTTTTTTTGATCATCGGTCAATTACTAAAAATATTTCAAAGACACTATCAGGGCACTTAATCTAATGTTTTTGGACAATCAGTTAAGAGCTAATCACATCTGTATGTGTTAGCAGTGAAGTGATGTGCGGCAGCTGATCTATAGATTTAGTCTTGTGGAATGTTTGCATATGATTAAATTAATCTAGGAGCACAGATTTCTTTTACAACTTCTCTAAAAACCCCACCCAATGCCGAGAGAGAGATAGACACGCACACACACACACACACACACACACACACACACACACACACACTCACAGTCTCTAAAAACAATACAACGCATTTGCATGCTGACTGCATAAACAAATGTTACTGTTGCAATACTACTGCTGAATAAGCTTTATGTAAAGCACCTATGAGCACCGACAGAGCTCTCAAAAATATCAGGTGAGCTGAGTATAAAAGACAGCAGAAAAAAAGGGGACAGACAGCATATGAGAGAAAGGATGAGAAGTAGCGGACCTTGGTCTGGGTAAACAGCATATTTGATTTGACATTATCAAACGGTTAGATCCAATCCTTGAGTCTGATTGGTCAACAGCTGTGCTTTATTCATGATAAAACACGGCTATGACCGCATTACCCAACGGTTCTAATTATCACTGCGCCACACTGCAGTTCCTATGTTGTTGTTGTTATTTGAGCTTTCATGCAGATTACACATTGGAACGTTGTTGCTGTTCACGGTTAGGGACTATTTTTTCCTGGCGGAAGGAAGGCTTTTAGTGATTTCACTAAAAGAAAGTTGCACTATTTTATTGTGTGGTAAGTAAACGTTTTATAAAAGCAATAAGGTACTCGAGGCAAGTGCTGTATCGTGATTCGTGAAGAAGTAACAACTGAAGGGGTTGGAGGCACTTTGCTTCGTGTCATGCAACGCCCTTCAGCCGTTACTTATTCACGATACAGCACAGCCTCTCGTACCTTATTGCTTACATGATAAAACAAGGTTACGTTTTATGTTAAAAATGTCCAGTGTGTTTAACAGTTTGTACGGTCTTAAAGGGACAGCTCACACAAAAATAATTATACTCTCATGTCATTACCAAACTGTGTGACTTTCTTCTGTGGAACACAAACAACAACATTTTAAGATTTTTTTTTAAATTATTATTAGTATTTTATACAATGGAAGTCAATGGTCACTAAAACTGTATGGTTACCTTAACAATATTATTCAAAATGTCTTCTTTTGTTTTCAGGCAGAAGAAAGCAATCAATGCCATTTTGAAATGACATAAGTGTGAGTAATTGATTAAATGATTTTCATTTCGGGGTGAGCTATCCTTTTAACGTGCTTGGTTGCTACTCTTCACAAACTGGTGTTTTGGGTGCACTGGGAATGTTTTGGAAAGACGAAACAGGGTAAACAACATAACTTGAACGTTTGGAAGAGAGGGAGGTGACCTTCACCCTGTAAGTGTCTCATTAGTGTGTGTGTGTGTGTGTGTGTGTGTGTGTGTGTGTGTGTGTGTGTGTGTGTGTGTGTGTGTGTGTGTGTACAG